TTTAAATTTTGCCCCCCCCCAGAGGTAGACCTGACCCCCCCAACTTTAAAAGTCTAGCTCCGCCACTGCCCGTAGCGGCTAACGAGGCTTTCCATTCTCAACTATGTTTACAAAAATGACTCATTGCTCCATCAAACTGCCGCTGAATATTGAAATCCGAAGCAAAGAAAAGTTAGCGTCTTTTTGTTTACCGCTTGTTTGTATCTTCCATCACTTCCATGCTGTAGTGAGTTTCAAACGTTGCGCCTTTGTTTTTCTTCTCTCTTTGCTATTCCGCCTGTCCACACCCACAGCCAATCAGTGAACAGGAGCAAAGCTCGCGTCACCCACCAAAGCAGGGCCGGCCCGACTGGCCAGGCTAATTGAATTGGTTTAAACATAGGTTTAAAGCAGGGGTGCCCAGGGCCAAAGGGCCAGCATCCTGCACATTTTAGTTCTCTCCCTGGTGCAAGAAACAACCTTTTCAGCTTGTCAATGTTCCGCTAGGTCTTCTAACGAGCCATCATTTGATCCAGGTGCGTTAAACCAGGGAGAGAACTGAAACATGCAGAATGCCGGCCCTCGAGGACCGAATTTGGACACCCCTGGTTTAAAGCCTGAAGATTTTAGCTTAGTTTTTATTTTCAGTTGAATCTTTTGTGTTGTGTTAATTTATATTTCCATTATAAACCAGGAGTGGATCAGATCATTTGTCATTGTGTTAGAAATGAAACCTGCCTTCCTTATTTCACAACTGGATGAGTTATCTCGCTGGCATCAAGATATGAAATTTTTGTCATTTTTAGTGTGGCTAACTTCAGTGGGATTTCCTCTTGTCCTGTACAAGGGAAATTCAACCCCCCATGTCCAAAGAACCTCCTCTGTCCTTCACCTTGTCCCCCAGTTCTGAGGACTCAGGCTTGGATGACTCTTCGTTTCGCAGTGCTCTGGAGGAAACGGAAAATTCTGTGGAGAGGGAGATCCGACTGACATTAGAAAGAGAAGAACAGCACCGAAGGGAGAGGGGAATGATTGCTCAGGGCCTGACGGTACCCAGGTAAGGTAAATGGGTTAAGATTGTATGGGTTCATCAAGCCTGTGCATTGACTGTTCAGATTTCTCATTTTTGTTCTTTTTTCTGTGTTCAGTCTATACACCCTAAGGACAGATGGATCTGTGCCCAGACCTCCAGTCTTCCGTACCCCTGCTCTGTCCATCTCTCCATCGCCCTCCTGCTCCTCCTCTCTCCCCCAATCAATGTATCATGAAATGACAGCCAAAAACGTCATCATTCTTGAACCCGACTCCTCTGCCTCCAGCTCCAGGAACTACCTGCTCTCCTCTGCCATCAGTAGCCTCTCTGATTGGTCTCCCAGTCTTGATGTGGCACCCTCAGAAAACGTCATTGTGGTGGAGACCTCCAATTTGATAATTCGCAGTGCTTCTGAATTTTGCCTGAGCTCTGGGCCTCCGCCTGTAGAGACACAAGAGAGTACTTTCTCTTCTAATCCATTCTTCAAGTTACGTTCCATCAGCAGTCAGTCTCTAGTGGAGCAAGAGATCAAGATGGTGAGGCAGAGAGAAGAAGAGTGGAGGAGACAAAGGGAGGAACTGTGGCGAAGGAAACAAGAGGAAGCGTGGAGGACAGGGAGAGAGAGGTATGACACTGTCCTGGTGTCACCAAGTCTAAACGAAAACATCACTTTCAGTGGTATGTAGTGTCTATGTAAAATATATGTATGAAGCAACAGTTTCTTTCTATAATGTAGAACCCACTTATTGTTTTCAGATATATTTGTTGTTTTTCTTTATTCTTTGTATTCTAATCTAATTCCTGATTCTAGTGCCAGTGGTTCCAGACAGATCTGTTTCCTCCCCATCATCGCCTTCCAGACCACGGAAAATGGAACGCTCTAGTTTGTCTTGTGACCACAAGGTTGGCAGACATGCACACACATGCAAACATAAACGTTAGAGCTTGTATTTATGCTGACTCAACATAGAAGTAAAAAGTAAAACAAAAAAATATTTAATGTACAAAGTCTGATTCAAGATATACAATCTGATCACTACTCTCCAGGGCCGTGTAGAGACCTTTGTCTCCGATTCAAAGTTAAAAAGAGGCACATTGAACAAGATCTTATAACATCGTACAACAACATTGCAACAACCCATATTAATCAAAAATTTAATTAATTGGATTATACTGCATCGATGTCGATGTGGGCAAATTTAGTCTGTTTCCCTCGATAGGTATATGTTGCTGTTGAGGGGTTTCTGCTGCTGACAGTGCGTGAGGACTGTCAGCTGCTAACAGCAGTCTGCTGTCTGCTCTGGTCTGTTTTTAAACAGACCATAGGAGAGAAGACCACTGGTTATGAAGTATGTGATGAAATAAGCAATTTTGCTGATATTTTACTCAATAAATCCTAATAATATCTGACCGTTTAACCTCCAAAGCAACCTGGATGCAGACTGCTTTAAAGACCAAACTCTACATAATTGTTTAACTCTACATAATTGTTTGATGTTGGCACCTCTGAGAGATCTAGAATTGTAAGACTGAGTGATATCAAGGCAAAGAAAACTCAGTCGCTGCTGGTAGACCCCTCCAGTCATTCAGGTGGAGCNTCCTGAATGTCTGGTNGATANGTGGGATTGCTGCAAAGTCAATGACAATGCAAATGATTGTTGCTACGTGCTCGTCCAGGAGGAGTGAATGTTCCAAGTCAATGACTTGATGCAATTTCCTGGGTTTTCTTAGATTCTAAGTTTCTTTCTAAGACTCGGAAATAAACATTTTTATCAACTGTGTTCAAGCATCTATCCTTTAATTGAGCATCCTGCACTGTTTGATAAATAGGATTAATTGGAATGTATGTGTGATTGAGTTGAAATTATATTTTTGTAAAATGTTTTGAGATGACATTTGTTGTGAATTGATTGTATATATTTGAATTGAATTGATTGGCATTAGAGGAGTAGAAGCTGCAGGAAGAAGTGTGATGGTGGAGCATGTTGGTGATTATGGGTAAGATGGCTGGATGTGGTGAGAGACGGGGAGCTTCTGGGTGATGTGGTCATGGAAGCGTGTGTGGGTGAGCAGCAGAGTTTTTATGTGCTGGAGTTTATTGAAGACTTGACAATCAAGTGGTTCACTTGAATGAGATGATTACTGCATCATCTCTAGTAATCAAGTCTGGAGATGATGCAGGCATGGATGAGAATTTCAACAGCTGAGATGGGGAGTGATGGGCAGAGACGAGCAACATTTTTTCAATGAGAAAAGGTGGTTCTTGTGATGTGGTTGACATGGTGTTCAAGGGAGACATTGATGTCGAAAGTGACTCCAAGGTTGCAGATGTGATTTGAGGGAGATAAAGTGGTGCTGTCAGTGGTGAGACTGTCAGGGGTTTTGGTAAGTGTAACATACATTACTTATTTGAATTTTAGAATGAGTAATAAATCAGAAAAATTCT